TTACAAAATAATAATGTTGGTACAGGCGATTCACGCATTGCTAAGCACCATTGTTAACGTCTTTCTGCAGATGGTAAGTTGGCTTTAACTGATACTTCTCTGACAGTTGTTCTTGATGCTGTTCTGTAAAATTTAACTTAACCTTATAATAAGTAGCTCTTTATTCTTAAATGAAATCAGTTCTATTGTATATGTTTAGGGAATTGAGTTTTATAGTGGCGATATCAAAATAATGATTCTTGGGATCTTAGCAGAATTACCGTTGCTTGCCTCCAAATGTTTCACCTATTTATTTTTATTTCTTTATTCTTTTGATATCCTTACTCTTCATGTTGGTTTTGCCTTTCGATATATGCAGATATGCAGGTGAATATTTTTTGCTTAGCCGATTATTCTAGTTTTCTCGTAATAAAAGTTTTTTTACTAAAAAATCTATTCCAATATTAAAAAGTCTTAAAGTAATGTAAAGTATAACAACTTTTATTTTATCCTTTACCTGTTAAAAAGTCTTCGAAAAAAGCAAATTAGAGAAATTTTCCAGGCCTAAACGGTTACAAGATTTGGTGTCTAGAAAAACTATTATTGTTGTATACCTGATTTACGGCACCCTTATCACTGTCTTCGTTGGTATATTTGCTCCTGCAATACAGTTTGATCTGGAAGATATACCTGAAAATTCTGTCATAACTACCCGTATAGTCATACGTTTACATCCCAATGTTAGCAGTTATTAGACGTTAGAAATTTAACAGTTTGAACATGGCTCAGTTTTTAGCCATCCGAATTTTTAGCAGGAAAATTTTGCTGGATAAGCTTAATTTACTTTTCGTGTGCTATACCGAGAATTAGCACCAAATAAAAGTTATTAATGAAAAAAGTGACTCAGACGAAATCACCGCTTACTGATTCTGAGCAGCATAGTCTAAGTTCTTTTGTTTGTATATATAATGATCGACTTCAACTTAGACTTTGAAAACAAGGATTTAGCCACACTAAAACCTAGTAATATTATGAAATAAAAAGAAGAAAGCTATTACATTCAACTTGAATAAACTAAAAGCTGCAACCTTTTTTATTTTTGTAGCATCAATGGGGGCTAGAATTATTTGCAAGTTTTCTGGTAGCTTCTACAATTCTTTCCTACTCAGTTGCCACAGCCTCAAGTATTGTTATATGGAAATGTTTGAGAGGTGGAGCGTACAGTGCAAAGTCAAGAAAACTACATAAAAAATTAACACTTGCAATGATATTACAAGTAATAAGTCAATTTTCATAGTTTGTTTTGGATAGCTTATTACTTTTTTAATATAAAAATTATTCCTACAGTCAAAATCCTCTTGCAGCTTATCAAGCATGCGCATAATGATTGTAATAGTACTTTGAATGAAACCTTTCCAGGCCTCATTACCAGTGTTCTTCTCGTCGATACCAACATTTACGTTTGCCACATTGATTATATGCAAAGTTACGATGCCAAGATACGCTTCAATCATTTTTTCAGTACTGTATTGGCAGCCATGTGTTCACTCGCTTATTGCTCTAGTTTTTGTTAAACCATTTTGGCAAAC